GGCTGGCGCTGGGAGCGCGCCGTCGGTGTGGACTGCAGCGCCCCGGAGCCGCGCTGCCTCTGGCTGCCCTGTCTGAGCCACAGCGACCGCCAAGCACTCGGGCTGCGTCCGGCCAGGGTGAGCAACAGCTTTGGAGCCGGGCGGGAGCTGGATGTCAGGGGTTGTGGGTGCTAGGGTTACCCACTTTTGAGCTGAGAGCGTCCTGCATTCCCAGACGACATCCTTGCAAGTAAGTGGTGTGTGTGAGAGAGCAGGATGAGAGTCAGAGTGAGGTGGCAGCGTTTGCGTGGGAGCTTTCCCAAGGGCTCCCAAGGGCTCTGGATGGAACCTGGAGTCTGGGTAATGGCACCTGTGGACTCAGCCCTCCTAGTTAACAGGCAGTGGAAGGATGGAAAGGGGGCTGATGACTGGAGGAGTCACTGGCTAGCATATCTAGGAATCTAGGTTGGCAGAGACCCAGTGAGAGCTAGGCACTGGGTCACTAACCCGAACAGTGGGCGCCACTCTGTTCTCCTGTCTTCTTTCCTATCAGCAGGGTCGCTGACACAGAGGCAATAAGCGTTTCTTAGTGGTCAGAGGAAGTTGAGGTGGCAGAATGGCCCCCCAGCAGGCATTGGGTGATTCCCAGGGCCGGCAGTGGCCCGACTGGGGGCAGTGTTTCTGATGTTCGGGGATCTGCCGGGCTGGTAGGCGTGAGTCACAGTGGGCGCCATGCCCAGTCTCAATACAGTGTTCTCTGCTATGACCTCTTTATGCTGGGGTGGGATGGGGGGGTGTCATACAGATGTAGCCAGTCCATCGAGTGTCCCCTTCTGCCTGATGTGTTCCCTAAGCTGTTGGCCCTTCTTTAACCACAGCTGATGTTTCTGGATGTCTCTGTTTTCAGACAAGAGGGTGAGAGTATTTACAAATAGATTCCAGTCAGGAGGGCTTAATTAACGATGCCTGTGGCACCTCTCTGTCCCCTGTCTGTGTGCCTGTGTCAGGGAGCAGAGGTGCACTTCACTGTCCCTCTAGTTGTCAATGCTGGTCTGTTTCTGTACCTTACACCTCTCCCGCCCTCAAGAGGAGAGCTAGACTCAGTGTTGTCTCAGGTCAGAGGGGAGGAGCAGAAACCTGCATGTAAGGTTAGCATGAGGCTAAGTCTGAAAGAGCTTCCCACAGGGGAGCAGCCAGCCCTGACTGCATCTGTGGAGTCTCCTCTGATAGGGCTATGGTGGTGGTGGTGGTGGTGGGGGGGGGTGACTGACATTCTCAAGAGACAAATTGAATTGGAAGGAGTGGAAGACAGGACCTGGAAAGAAGAGAGTGAGTGGAGAGGCGTAGATAAGTAAGAAGGGGGGCTGTTGTGCTGGGGTGAGGAGAGACCAGTGGGAGGAAGGCATACCCACTGTCCTGGATTACAAGCAGGTCCCCTCAGGGAGTGGCACCCCCAGGCAGCTGGCAGCTCTAGGGAGGCTGTGTGTGTAGGGGGAGGGGAGGGGAACATGTGGAGACCTGTCCCAGCCGCTTCTCATCACTGGGGCAGCTGGTGGCTTAAACCTTAATCCAGGGCACCAGCAAAACAATGGGCCCTGCAAACACCCTCAGCTCTGAGCCTGGGTGGGAGTGCGAAGGAGGGCAGCCCACACTGGTGGGGGAGCAGGGATTTCTGTGGGAGAGGCACTGGGGACCCATGAGATCATCTTTCCTATCAAGGAAATCAAGGAGGGGTGTGTTCGAAGCTCAAGGAATTTCCATGAATGTTCTCCAGGCTCCTTGGACCCTGTGAATGTGAATGTAGGGTGCTGGAAGGTAATCAGGCCAGGGTGTAATCACAAGGGGGACGGAACTGAGGGGACATCATTAGGGCCCTGCTAAGGACTGGGACCAGGAGTAGTCTAGGTCTTGCTTGGACCCTTCTGGGGATGGAGAGTTTAGGATCTAACCTGTTTTCTTCAGGCTATGGAATGTCTCCTTTTCTGGACCCTCATTTGGCTGATTTGTGTCCTCCACCTGGCTCTGCTCCCCAAGACTACAGTCCGCAAACCTTTTGTACGTCTCGTTTTCCTTTTATTTATTGAGATTCGAGACTCTGCTCTCTCTGCTAAACCTGCTGGATGGCAGCTAAGCCTCCTGGCTGTGCTCTCCCTCTGTTGACCAGGGGTGGACAGTTTCTCAGCTGGGCCTCTTAGCTAGCAGAAGGGCAACTTCCCCACACAGTGGGAGCTCCTTACACCAGGTCTGATGGGCTTTCACTGTCCATGCCAGTCCTGGGCCACCCATCTCTTCTGGTTCCTGCCAGGGCCAAGGAGGAACAAGGGGCTGGTGAAAAGCTTTTGGCTTCCTGAGGGCAGAGGCAAGTGCTAGCTAACTCAGGCTGCCCAGTGGCTGTGGGGATTTGGGGCTTTGTTGAAGGGTTCTTGCTTTTCTTACGGCCTGTCCCCCAGGGACCCATCTTTTCTGTCAGCCTCTCTGCATACGATTCATCTCATACTTGTTACTGCTGTTTATTTCAGTGTCCAGAGATGTTCAAGACAGTCTTCTCTCTCCGTCACCCCTTGCCTCCTGCCCTAGATGTGGTCCTGGATGGGCCCTCTCAGCTTTTTTCTTTGGATGACCTGCCATGTCATCTAGGGGAATCCCAAGTATTCTGACAGGATGCACAGAGGGCAGTATCTCCCATCGGCCTTCCTGGTGAACCAGCCTGGCCTTTGGTCTGAGCTTTGCAACCTCAGCAAGTCACTTTAGTGGTCTGATGTCCAGTTGAGGCTTTTGATCCCATGCTGTTGGAGAGTGCATGTGTGTGCCAGTGTATGCAGATATGTGGCTCTCTCTGTGCTGTGTGGATACAAGACTGGTTTACACACCTGTGCCCTGCCAGTGTGCCTGCTTGGTGCCTACATATGGTTCTGTGAGTCTGCCTGTGTGCACGTCTGCTATTTTTACTTTTATCATTTATCAATTAATTAATTAATTAATTAATTGTTTTTTCGGAATGGAGTTTCTCTATGTAGCCTTGGCTGTCCTGGAACTCACTCTGCAGACCAGGCTGGCCTTGAACTCAGAGATCCACCTGCTTCTGCCTCCTGAGTGCTGGAGTGATAGGCATGTGCCACCACTGTCTGGCTTATGTGTACATATTTGTTTGTGTTCCTGTGTTTATGTTATGTTCTGTCTACATAAGTTGTGTGTGTCAGTGTATTCATGCATGTCAGTGTATGTGTGGGGATGTGCAAGTTGTACGCACAACTTTCTGTGCAGAAAAGCTGTGTGTGCAGTGCCTGGCACACCAAGAGTGTTCTGGTTCAATTTCCAGGGAGGCAATGGTGCCGTGAGGAGACTAAAGGGAAAGCTCAGAGGGAGGAAGCTGTCAGGCTTCGAAGAGTGAGAAAGGAGGGGAACGGTGAAGGGGGTGAAGGGATCAGGACCCCAAAGGTACCTGGGCCCTTGTGGCTGAAGATGTTGGTGGTCCTGTCAGGTCCTAGGCTCTGGGCAGCTGGCGGCAGGTGCAGAGCCGTGAGCATAGGCTACACGATGCTCATTCACCTTTTTCCCTTTGCTCCTGCAGCTTCCCCTGGGCCCACGAGATGGGTGCTCTTCTGGACGCCCCCTCCCCTGGCAGGGGCCCAGGACACTGCTGCTGCGCAAAAATCTCCAGGATGGCTTTGGTTTCACCCTGCGTCACTTCATTGTGTACCCACCGGAGTCAGCTGTGCACTGCAGCCTGAAGGTATGTCCAGCTTGCCAGTGCCTGGCCACTGTGTGGGAGGGGGGAGCTCGATGGGAGAGAGAAGCTAGTTGGCCTATTCTAGCTACCTGTCACAGGAGTTACTGTAGGGATCCGGCCTGGCTCCTTCAGAACCACAGAGAGAGGGGAGCTTTGCCTAATACTCTTGCTCCGTGACTGTGGACAAACTCCCTAACTTTTCTGGACTGGGTCTTGCCAGGGGGTGCAGAGGTGAGAAGTCAGTATGTGCAGAGCTGCATGTGTGAGTGTGACACACACACACACACACACACACACACACACACACATACACACACGGTCTCTGGAAAGGGAATGATCATTTTGGGTAATGGGCTCCTTGTTCACTTGTCCACTGGTTCTTGACCTGAGTCACCTTTTCAGGGATCCCCCTTATTTGCTGGAAAGAGTCCCGGGGGAGGGGTCCAAGGGCCCCCGGGTCTTAGTCCTAACTCAATCCTGTGTTGTTGTGGATTTGGTCACTGTGGATTTAGAGCCATCTCACCACTCTGTGACTCGGTTTCTCCTGAAGGCTACTTTTCCTTGACCCCTAAGAGCTTTTCCATCCTTAATACAGATACCTCAGACTCTGAATCATAGAGCCAGAACTTCTCACAAGGCCACCACTTGGAGAGAGAGTCCCTGAAAGCAAAGGGTGTGGAAGACAGGAGGGCAGCTAGGCAGCAATGGGGCTCCCAACCTCCCTTCCTACAGAGGAGACAAATTTCTAGTACAGTCAATGAACCCCTCTCTCTCCTTCCCCCAGGGCTGGATCAGCCTACACAACTGCTGGGGGATTACTGCTTGGGTACCTTGACCCCACCTGCCACACAACCAAAGCATTAGGTTTCTCTGTATGCCTCTGCACCTATGTTTGCCTGCTTGCATCGGTGTGTGTGTAGTGTCTGCAGGCTATGGTGTGTGTATATGTCTGTCACATGCTTTGCGATGTTCACATGTATATGAATCTTTGATACTAGGGTCATCACTGTCATTGGCTATGGCTATGCCTAAGCCTCGGGTAACCAAGGGCACCAGCCCCCTCACTCCTGGAACCCCTGGTCCTACTCTTCCTTCTTTCTAGCTCCTGCCACCTTCTCTTAGGACACTGTGGAGGAGTGGCAGTGACAGAGGCTGTGCTCTCGCGTGCTGGGCTCGCTTTCTCATGGGTCACTGGGCAACTCTGGGGCAAGACAAGCCAGGATTGCTCCCTCCCTTTCTAGAATCTGCTCTGGACTGAGAGATGTTCTCATCCTGAGGCAGTAGGAGGCCAGAGTTCTCTGCCGGGGAGCCTGCAGTGAGCTTAGCCGTCCACATGCATGTTTGCCTCTGCCACTCACTGTCCATGCTGTCAGCGCCCATCAGTGGGCATGCACCTCCCATGGGAAATCCAGCAGCACCCAGCAACCTTCCTGGTGCACCTTGACCTGACTGGGTCGCCAGCGAGTCCTGAGTTTGGGTCCTGGTTCTGCTGTTGAATGGCTGAACAATGTGACCCTGAATGTCCTGTCAACTCATATGTAACACCCACTGGCTCAGCCTGTCTCTGTTCTCTGGTTCTTCTCCAATAACCAGTACCCTCACCGGGATGGATCCCTGACCCTCCTAGCAGCTCCCCCTCACCACTGTAGGTAACTTCAAGAATCCTGCACCTTGTCTGACACCTACTTCTGCTTATCAAAGAACCTTTCCTGGCCGCTTTTTCTTTCCTTTTAGACCAGAATGCTTTAGTCTGACTTCGCCACTTGCTGATGTTAGCTCAGCATATCCAGGCCTAAGTGTGCACCCATCCCCCTTGCTAATCGGACCTCCCAGCACATTCTGTGAGAGAGATAGCCCTGTCTACACTTGTCAGGCTACTTATCTTTGTCCTCCTGGGTCCTCTGCATGTGTGTTGGGGACCTCCTCCCTTGGGTTACAAGGGACCTTCTCCCTAGGGGAAGAGAGCATAAATTTCTGGTAGATTGGATGTTCTTGGAAGCCTGGGATGCTAGTGTGGTGGGACTGGCACGTCTGAGAATAGGGTGTATATATTTAGTGGACATTTGTTCTGAGCCGGACTCTGACAACTCTCTAGCCTTCTTGCTGTTGGCTGGTTGGAAGGAGACAAGGGTTAGAGTGGAGATCTCAGCAGGCTGCTGCTGCTGCTGCTGGGGGCTGAACAGGTGCCACACCCATCTCTCTGTTCCCTGCAGGAGGAAGAGAATGGAGGCCGTGGCCGAGGAAGAGGAGGAGGAGGAGGAGGAGGAGGAGGCGGTAGGGGGGTGGAGCGGGGGTGGGGCAGGGCTTCAGTTTCTCTCCCGCACTCCAGTGGGCCCCACCCTCTTCTTGTCCACACCTCTAGTCTTTCTCTTCTTGGCTCCTGGTAGACTAGCTCCAGGCATCTCCTCCTCTCTCTCTCTCTGTTCTCCTCCCCATTTCCCCCTCTCACCGTTGTCTTCCTATGGGCCTGTCCCTCCCACAGCCATCTGATACTGAGTACTCTGAGTGACAGATCCCCATCTGGTTCCTCCCTCCCTCTACTTTCCCCCAGAACAAAGTCTAGGCTAAGGCTGCAGGATCTGCGCATCAGGGTTGGGGTGTCCTGAGCATGGGTTCATCTTGTGGGTGGAGACAGTGGACAGTGAGGACCCGAAAGGAATAGTGGGACCCTAAGGTATGTCCTCAATGTGAGCCTAACTTGCCTTGCTGTTACCTTTGCTATCTTTTTGTTTGTTTGTTTTTTTGAATCAGGGTTTTTCTGTGTAGCTTTGGCTGTTCTGGACTCACTCTGTAGACCAGACTGGCCTTGAATTCAGAGAGATTGGCCTGCCTCTGCTTCCCAATTGTTGGGATTAAAAGAGTGTGCCACCACTGCTTGGCCTACCTTTGCTATTTTAAGAGTCCTTTGCTGGCTCTCAAGCTCCCCAAGTGTTAAAGCGGACGTTCCCAGACAGGCAGCTCTCCTGCCCTGTCTCTGTGGGCACCGTGGGGACGCGATCCTCCTTAGTCTTCGTGCCATTGCCCTGCCCAGCCTCTGCCTGTGGGCAGCCACGGGGACATGATCCTCCTGAGTCCCCATGCCACTAGAGGAGAAAGAGCCCACTGTCTCAGCACAGGTTCCAGTGAGGGAGTCTTGTTGGCAAGTGATGGAGTTAGTATCCATCCTGTGCTCATCCCAACATCCCAGGGCTCTCATACTTCTGCCTGGAGTCCTTGACCCAGGAGAAGGAAGAAGAGTGGAAGAATATTGGGTTTCTCTCTGGTCCTGTGATCCGTCCTCTCTCCATACATGTGAAGTCTCGCCAAGCTTGTACCTTTAAAAAAAAAAAATTTAAATGTAAAAAAATCAAGTGCATTTAAAAGAGTATTTTATGTTTGTATGTGCCTGGGTACATGTATCTTTGTGCACCGTGTATGTGCAGGAGTCCACATACGTTAGATGAGGGCACCAGATGCCCTGGAACACGAGTCACAGGCAGTTGTGAGCTACTACATGTGTGCTGGGAACCAAACCCATACCCCGTTCCAGAGCAGCCCGTGCTCTGACCTCTGACCCACCTCTCCAGTCCAGATTAGGGCCTCTTTTTGAGCATCATCAGTGTGTGTGCTCGGGATAATGCCGGAGAATGCATGTCCCGTGCCTAGTGTGTGGAGATCAGAGGACGACTTGGTGGTGTTAGCTCTCTGCTTCCACCTTTACGTGGGTTTCAGGGACTGAATTCAGACCATGCAGATGCCTTTCCCCACCATCTTGTCAGCCCCATGGGGGCCTCCTGTATGGCGCCCTCCCTGCGTCTTATGCATTGTTTGTGATGTCTGCGTGATAGAGAACTCTGGAAGGGCAAGGACTGTGTGTACATATTGTGTAGCGTGACTTCTAGTACAGAACATGCCCTCATGGCTGTGGGCAGCTCTTTATGTGTCCTTCTCCTGTTGTGGGACCTTGTGTGGCTGTGGACATAGGTCCTGTGAAAGCATGGTCATTGCATGCTTGTATCTGTGTGTGATCATCCTCTGAGTGTGTCCCTTGTATGGATAGCTATACATGGGTGTGGCCTTCAGCAGCCATGCCCAGCTAACCTGACTGATGCCCACCAGGACCCTCCCACCGGCACCGCCTGGAGCCCATGGACACCATCTTTGTGAAGAATGTGAAGGATGGTGGCCCCGCTCATAGGGCAGGGCTTCGCACAGGTAGGCCTGCCCACTCCTCTGGGGCTCCCTCCCTTTCCTTCTCAGTGGGTTGGGTTCCTCTCCTATCACTGTCATTCATGCTTTATCCAGGGGTAGCCTCCACCCCTGCTTTGGACCCTGACATGTGGTCCAGGGGTAGCCTCCACACCTGCTTTGAACTCTGACGTGTGGTCCAGGGGTATCCTCCACTCCCTGCTTTGGACTCTGACATGTGGTCCCACTCCTTGTCCCTAGGAGACCGGCTCGTGAAGGTGAATGGGGAGAGCGTTGTTGGGAAGACATACTCCCAAGTCATAGGTCTGATCCAGAACAGGTGAGCAGCCAACCTTCTTCCTTCCTCAACCTGGGCCCTGCTACTGGCTCCCTGTCCCCCAGCCCCTGTCGCCCCTGGGTTGACTCTCTCCTGTCTCTGCAGCGATGACACCCTGGAGCTCTCCATCATGCCCAAGGATGAGGACATCCTCCAGCTGGTGAGTCCCTTGGGAGAAAAGAGAAGGAAATAGCCTGACACTGCTCAACTGGGGTTTCCAGGCCCATCCCTGGGCTGGGGCTGCTTCTTGCTTCACTCAGGGCTGCTCTGTGCTAGGGAGACAAGAGGTGCTGGCCTTGGTAGGCAAAATTCCTGCCAGGGTATCTGAAAGGGTGGCTCAGTGGGCCCTGCCAGCCTGGCATGTTCTTGTTTGCTCCTGTGAGAGGTGCCTGCTCCCTGTACCCCCTGCCCACTTGGCCTGAGCGAGCACGGCTCTGTAGATGCACACACCAGAGAGCACCACATCCCGCCGTCACAGACACGACTTAGTACAGATCAGAACACTCATCCACAGCACGGTGTGACTCAGCTCCATAGAAGACGCACACGCATTGCAGGCCCAGACGAACAGACCTGTCTGTTTCAATGTCACCATGGCTCCCCCTCCGTGTCAGTGTACCACAATGCCTGTGTAGCACACGGCAAGATCTCACAGCCGTCTGACTTGCACCTTGGGCTTGTAACACAAACGCCGCACACATCTGGATTCTGAGGTTCCGTGACGTAGACACACACTGGCATGTTATTGCAGTGCTGCCCGCAGCTGCCTCAGCGTGCGGCAGCCCCTCTCGGGTACCTGTGCTTAGTGATATCGCGGGATCCTAAGTTCAGGCCCATGGGTATCTAAACTCTGAACCCATCACCCCCAGTGCCTCAGCATGCTCAGAACATGATGTGGAGAATGCCACACATGTATTGTGTGAAACAAACCCAAAGCCCTGTATCTGGAGCCTGGAACACTCCCTCCCCTTTGCCTCATGCCCTGTTCTCAGTCTCCTGAATCCTACCAAGATGCCAGCTTGCTTGCTCCTTAGGTCACTGCCCCTCAGAGGATGGCTGAGGGCCAAGCCCCAGAGACTCATAGCTGCTGTGCTGACTTTGGCTGTGGCTGTGTCACTGTAATGACAGGGCCACACTTGGCATGATGCCTCTCTGGGAACCTCCATTCCTGACCTCAAAAGTCCCATTGGTCTTCCTGGAGATGAAGAGGAAAGACTGGAGGGGATGGCTCACCCCAAGAGTTAAAGAGTTTGCCTGTATGCCAGACTTGAGGCAAGGCCACTATGAGAGAGTAGCAGGACATGTCCCTGGGGTACCCTGGCTCAGTCCAGATCTCGTGTCAAAGGGGTGGCAAGGGCAGCAGCCTTGAATTCTGCCAGACCTAAACCCAAGTGGGCTGCCAGCCCCAGATGTCAACATCTGGGAGCTTCCACTACCCTGCCATCTCCAGGCAGCCAGAGGGTGGGGCCCAGGCATTCCTGTGGTTGGGAGCCAAGGCTGGAGGCCAATCGGGCGGCGGCAGTTGCTGACGCCACCACCGACGCGGCAAGTCCCCTCCACACCCATCCTCCCTCCTCCTACCGCCAGGCAGCCGACAGAGAGCCGGGTGGTGGAGAGGGGGAGCTTCAGGAAGGGCTGACTGAGGGGACTGAGGGACCCAAACCAGCAGGGCAGGGGCTGTGGTGGGAGGCAGCGCAGGGTAGCAGGCACGGGTTGGCGGGATGCTGCCTCCGCCACCGTGATGCTGGGAGCTCCGGGAGCCGGCAGGATGGCAGGAGGGAGAGGTATGTGTTGCTGGCCCAGTATGCCAGGCTGGAGGGGCCGAGTGTTCGGGGGGTGTGGTTAGCTGGTCCTTGTCACATGATGTTTGTGTTTGCGACTGGAGGGGTAGTTATTTGTGTATCTCATTGTGTGTGCTGTGTGTGTCAGGGTGTGTATCTTGTTGTCTGTGATGTGGTGTAGTATGTGTGTGTGTCTGGGCTCACCCTCCCACCCTTTTGCTTCTACATCCTGAGACAGGCCCCCTCAGCTCATCTAGCGCTGGGCTGGGTCAGGGACACAAGACTGCTGTCCCTGGGGGGCTGCCTCCTTTTTTGGCTGAGCCTGGGCGCCAGCCCTGTCACTCCTCAGCAATGCAGCGTCAGCTTTAGCAGCCAGTGCCAAATTCCAGGCCTAGGGGTGGCCCGAGGTGGCCCGAGGCCCCTTAGTCAGTCCAGCCCCTTCTCTAAGCCCACTTCTGGGGAGCAAGAGACGGTCATGTTCTTCACCCCAAGGCTCAAGCCCTGGGCCCTGGCTTACACCACCCTATATTGAAGGGGCAGTGGGCTCTTCCAGCCTCTGCCCACCCTCAGACCACCCCTTCTTGGACACACCCCTTAGCCAGCTTTCTACTGTTTTCTTTCACCTTGGCAGTTTTCTGTCCATTTCCCTAGCACTCCAGGGGCTGTGGGCATCGCTGGGCATAAAGGAACAGTAGGCGGTAGAGGACAGAATGGGGGAGGACCCTAGCGAACAGATGTTGGAATGCTTGTGACTAAAGGCTGTCCTTGTTATAAGTCTTAGAGAAATCTGACTGTTGAGAGAGAGAGAGAGAGAGAGAGAGAGAGAGAGAGAGAGAGAGAGATTGAGATTCTTATTTCTTTGTCCTTCCTCAGGACTCTCCCTGGAGCATACCCTCATCTACTCAGGATGCCCTTACTTAATCATCTCTCTTTCATTCCCTGCTGAGGACTTTGGTATTTTAGGGCTCTCTCATTTCTCTTCTGAGTCCAGTCTGGTCATGCTTCTATGCCTCTGTTTCCGGCCAGGCCTACTCCCAGGATGCCTACCTGAAGGGCAACGAGCCGTATTCTGGAGAGGCCCGCAGCATCCCAGAACCACCTCCGCTCTGCTACCCACGGAAGACCTATGCCCCGCCAGCCCGGGCCTCTGCCTGGGCCACTATGGTGCCTGAGCCTGGCTCAGCACTACCCACGGATCCCCGGAGTCCTGCTGCCTGGAGTGACCCAGGGGCCTGTGTCCCATCTGCCACCCGTGCCCACCTGGACAACTCTTTATTGGGGATGAGCCAGCCCCGCCCAAGCCCTGGTGCCTTTCCCCACCTCCCTTCAGAGTCCCGGACTCCCCGTGCCTTTCCAGAGCCCGGCAGCCGGGTGCTTCCCAGCAGACTGGAGTGCCAGCAGGCTCTGTCACACTGGCTGTCAAATCAAATACCCCGCAGGGCGGGGGAGAGACGGTGCCCAGCCATGCCACCACGGGCCCGCAGTGCCTCCCAGGACCGGCTGGAGGATGTGACTACCCACCACCCATGGCCCTGCTCCACCTCCCAGGATGCCTTGAGCCAGCTGGGCCAGGAGGGTTGGCACCGAGCTCGCTCAGACGATTACCTGAGCCGGGCTACCCGCTCTGCTGAAGCACTGGGGCCAGGAGCACTGGTGTCACCGCGCCTTGAACGCTGTGGTTGGGCTCCCCAACGTCCATCTGCCCGCACCTCTGCTTGCCCTTCTCGGGACCTGTCAGGGCCCCAGGCCCCTCCTTCATCTGGCCTGCAGGGTCTAGATGACGTCGGGTACATTGGGTATCGGAGCTATAGCCCATCATTCCAGCGCCGAACTGGTCTCCTGCATGCTCTTTCCTTCCGGGACTCACCTTTTGGAGGACTTCCCTCCTTCAACTTGGCCCAATCTCCTGCACCATTCCCACCAGAGGCCTCTGAACCACCTAGAGTCGTCCGGCCAGAACCTAGCACCCGAACCCTGGAACCTCCTGCAGAGGATCACCGTGATGAGGTGGTCCTGAGGCAGAAGCCTCCAACGGGTCGCAAGGTCCAGCTGACCCCTGCAAGGCAGATGAACCTTGGATTTGGTGATGAGTCCCCAGAGCCAGAGGCCAGAGGGGAACGCCCAGGCAGGAAAGTGGCCCCTTTGGCCACTACAGAAGACTCTCTGGCTTCTATCCCCTTCATTGGTGAGTGGTGTTCCGAGCAGCTGGCTAAGGCTCTTCGTCTCTGTCCTTTTGTGTCCCCACTACCTGTCTACTGTGCCCATGACTGGGCTGTGCGCCGATAGGATCATCTGGGTCTGTCCATTCTTCTCCCACTTCCATTCATCTTCCCCTCCAACTTTTCCTCCCTCCTTCCCTCCCTCCCTCCCTCCTTCCCTTCTTCATCCATCTTTCATCTTTCCTTTTTGCCTTCCCTTGTTCATTCATTCGTCACTCTTAACTTTCCTCTTTCCTTCCTTCCTCCTCTTCTTCCTTCTACCCTTTGTGTCTTTCATTCTTTGTTTTTCCCACTTGGCCTACATTTCTCCAACAAATACTTACGTCAGGCACTGTGCGAGGCTTCTGACTTCCCTGAGTGAGTGGACGGGCAGACAGAAAGTACATGGACAGGCTCTGTGGACGGGGAAGGGCTCTGTGGCCTAAATGGGTGTGGCCGGCACTGGGAATATTGAAAAAAAAAAAAAACTTGGTTAAGGATTCAAGGTAGATGGAGGAAGAGTGTTCAGAGAGAAAGATGGAACCATGCAGAGCCTGCAGAGAGAGAGGCAGAGTGCTCTTCCGGGCCATGTGGTCCTTCCCGTCCAGGGCCAAGCTTGGATTTCACCCGAAGAACAGAGGAGGCTGTGGTGACTGCCTGTAGAGTGGGAGAGGCAAAAAGGCAGCGAGGCGAGGGTGACCCCAGCTCTCTGGAGTGATCTCCAGCACTGGCCTGGAGGGTAGTGCCTGATCTCTGTACTGGAGATGGAGTGCAGAAAGGATAAGAAAAGGATTGGGGCTGTGCGGATGCAGGCTGGGCTGGGCTGGGGCCTTTAGAGAAAGCCTGGAGTGTAAGATGGTGATGTTGGGCTTAAGACCTGGGACTGAGTTTGGAGCTGAGCAGGCCTGGGAATTGAGGAAGAAGTCCCAACAGGATGGTGTGAAGCCATCAGCAGCCTGCAGTGGGGGGTACAACCCTGTTTCAGTAAATTCCGGCCGAGCCACTGTCAGCTGCTCCCGTCTGCGGCGAAGACATAATGCTTGTCCTGAGCCACCAGTCTGGTAGAGTGCTGTCTGTGTTTTAGAGTCCCACTCCTCAGTGCCCTTGATGCATCGGGAGGCTCAGCCCCTGCTAAGAGGATGTACTCCCCTGCCACATTCTGGTGGGCGAGGTCCCGTGGGGAGTGGGCATGTTGCCGGAAATGCCCTAGTGAGGAGGAGCTGAAAGGTTTGCAGCTTGTTTGCCCAAAGCCTGATGAGACTGGGGTACTGAAGCAGCCTGTGTCCCTCACACCTTCCTCCCTCTGCTGGCAGATGAGCCCACCAGCCCCAGCATTGACCTCCAAGCCAAGCATGTCCCTGCCTCTGCGGTGGTCTCCAGTGCTATGAACTCAGCCCCTGTCTTGGGCACTAGCCCATCCTCACCAACCTTCACCTTTGCCCTCAGCCGCCATTACTCCCAGGACTGCAGTGAGTATCTCTACCCTGTGCCAGCCCCTCCCCTGCTGCCTGGTCCCTGTGGGTCTTCTGCCCAATGGTGGTTTGCTTTCAGGTGGTTTTTGCTTCTTCTGGGACCCCATGGGAGATCCCACTCCTGACCCCGACCAGAAGGGAGGGCTCCTAGGGTAGCTCCCAACCTGCTTCTTGCTAATTCTGAGACCTTGTGTGGGCACCTTTTCAGGCAGCATCAAGGCAGGCCGCCGCTCCTCCTACCTTCTGGCCATCACTACAGAGCGTTCCAAGTCCTGTGATGACGGACTCAACACCTTCCGGGATGAGGGCCGAGTGCTCCGGTGAGGCCCTGTCTGTCTGGGGTGGGGTAGTTTCTGCTCTCTTAGGTTGGGCCATGGGTTCAGGTGGGTGACGAGAACGAGGGCCACCCACAGCCCTCATCTTGGGTCTTTGCTTCCCAGGCGCCTTCCCAACCGGGTGCCCAGCCTACGGATGCTGCGGAGCTTCTTCACCGATGGGGTAAGCCAGCAAAACGTGTGTGCATTTGAGCCAGTGCTCTTAACCACGGAGCCGTCTCTCCAGCCTTTGGTCTTCTTAGGACAGGGTCTTGGTAGACCTTGAAGACAGGGTTTGAGTCCAGACTGGTCTCCAGCTTGTGACCTTCCTGCCTCAGCCTCCTGAGTGCTAGGAACCCTGTGCCACAGTTGTGCTTCTGTAGGGCCCCCTGAGACTTGCTCTGAACCACACCCCCACGGCTGCTGCTTCCTGTCTGTCTCTGTGCACTTTCCTCGCATGCATCATGCACGTGTCTTTTAGCACCTTAGAGACACAGCCATGGCCGCCTGGCTCCTCTTTATCACTTCCTCAGCTTACTGAACTCTCCCTGGATGTGCCAGCTCTGAGGCTGGATTCCTGTTGACACATCACTTCCTGTTTAACTCCTGGTGGGCTTGACTACCTGTTCCATCACTACTTTGGTCTCTGTTGATGTTCCCACTTCCCCTGTTTACTTAACTCCTTATTGCCACAATCGCTTCCTCTGTTTCCTCAATTCCTTCAAGGCTGTAAAACTGAGGGAAGGCCCCGGGTTGGCTTTTCCCAGCATGAGGAGGCAAGCATTCTGCTGGCAGATCAGACTCTTTCCTCCTTCCTGGCTTCTTCATGAGGTCTCATGACCTCAACACAAATGCTCCAGAGAGGACAAGCAAGGCCCATGAGGTCACACAGTACATCAGAGTACAGCACAGACAAACGCCAGGCCTGTGTGGCCCATGTAGTCCATGGGGTTCCTGAGATGCCGGTATTATGGAAGCCGCCCTAAATTGCCTTCTGTTTTCTCCCTACAGTCTCTAGATAGTTGGGGCACCTCTGAAGATGCTGATGCCCCCTCTAAGCGACACTCAACCTCTGACCTCTCAGATGCGACCTTCAGTGACATCAGGAGAGAAGGCTGGTTGTATTATAAACAGATCCTCACCAAGAAGGGGAAGGTAAGGTGGCCTGGGGAAGGAGGTCCAGGCTGGATGGAAGGTGGCTCTGACATGACTTTCCAGGTTCTCTTATACCTGCCTTGAAGCTTCGGAGTCAGAAAAAAACAAAAACTAAACAGAAACAAACTAACAAAACCCACCTTAGGCTATAGCCTGAGGACTCAAGGTTAGACGGCTGCCAGGATGAACTTCTGGGGGAGAGGAATTACCAAACCCCTGAGAAGGAGGGTAACAGAGAGGCACTCCTGACTGTGGAAGCAAGCTATGTTGGAATCCTGACCAAACCATTTTTCAATGACTCTGAATGACCATCGAGGCTTATGGTAAAGGAGCAAGGCCAGGGTGATGCTGAGGTCCAAGAAGGAAGCAGAAGTCAATTTTTTCAGGGCCCTTTGTGGTCTTCAGGGTGCAGACTTAGCTTAAGGGCACCTGAAACCCTTGGCAGTGTTAGAGCTTTCAGATGCTCATGTATCTTCCTGAGGTGAGTTAGTGAGGGGTGCCTGGAGTAACAAGACCGTTTAGGAGCCACCACAGGATCCAGGTGAGAGTCAGGGGCCTGTGGGAGTGGGGGAGGAGGTGGACAGGGGGTTCAAATAGGATCCGAAGAGAAGGTGGGACTCTGATCTGCCAGGCCTGAACTTAAGTCCCAGGCTAGGGGCCCTGGGCTGGGGAGCAGGAGGAAAAGGAGGCAGGGTGGTTCAGACCAACTTGGTCTTACTTGTTGATGGCATGGCCTGTTTCTCTGCGGGCGCTCTCCTTGTGCTTGTGACTGTCTGTAAGGCGTGCTGACTAATGCCTTTCCTAACTGGCTGCTAGGCATTGAAAGACATGATCTGAACAAAGAGTGTACTATATATACTAGGCAAGGTGAGATGGGTCTGCAATCCAAGCTGTTTAGGAGGCTGAGACAGGAGGATGGAGAGTTCATGACTTGTTTAGGCTACAGAGTGAGTTCAATGCCAGCCTGGGCAACTTATTAAAATTCTGTCTCAAAATAAAATGTGCCCGGGCTGTGGTGGTGCACGCGTTTAATCCCAGCACATGGGAGCAAAGGCAGGTGGATTTATGAGTTTGAGGCAAGTCTGGTCTACGGATTAAGTTTCAGGATATTCAAGGCTACACTGAGAAACCCTGCCTCTAAAAACAAAAAATTAAATAAGTAAATACATTTTGAAACAAGGGCTGGGAATATAGATTATTGGTCGAATGGCATACCAATTCTAATACCTAGCAGGCATTAGGGCCTGGTTTTAAGCCTTAGTCATACCACGCGCGTGCGCGCACACACACATACACACACACACACACACACACACACACACACACGGTGTTTCTTATGGGCTGTGCTTACAAAACTCTTTCCTGACCTATGGAAGGGCCTGGGCTCCATTCCTATCATTGCAGATAGAGTCAGGGGCAAGTGGGGCTGGAGTGATCAGAGCTTGACACTTGGGGCTCTTGTTCTTCTGCCTTACTGCCATTATAGGCATCCTACGATATTTAGGGGGGATGACTCCAGAAGCCCCCATGGGTACCAGACATCCATGGAGGCTCAAGTCCCTTATATAAAGCAAATTCGTGTCTGCATGCAGCTGGCGCAATCCTCCCCTACTCAGTAAGTCATCTCTAGATGACTTATGCTGCCTCATGCTATACAACGCCATGTAAACAGTTGTTACAGTGGGTTGTTTATGGAATGTGGAGGGGAAAAAAGTCTGTACCTTAGCACAGATGCATGGTTTTTCTCTGAGTTTTTTAATCCATGGAACCTATAGACGGGACGCTTCTAGGGCAGTACCTGGAAAGCACGAGCTTTGAAATAGTCGGACTTTGAATTCCTACACACTGCTGCTGTGGATGGCTTCAGGAGTCACCTTAACTTCCCCACGCTGTAAGATGAGTCAAGAGGGCAAAAGTGGAGGCCAGGGAGCACTGGAGTTTATAGACACAAGGCTTCCCATTCCTGAGGGTCTGTTGAGCTTCTAGGGACTTAGGTGCGCGAGCCAGCTTGCGCCGTCCTGCCCTCTTGGGGTTGATTGTAACACAGAGAAAGTGCTAATTGCTCCTCAATGACAGGTGCACCCACTGTCAGCACAGGGAGTTTTAGAGGCTTGGCAGGGTGGGGTTTAGCATGTCTGGGAGGCTATGACCTGAAGCTGTGGGAGTCTGTAGTAGAGAGGGAGTGGGTGGGAGAGAGTATCCTGGGGAAACCCCTCACTAAGGACCGAAGGGAAGCTCAGAGGAGAGTGCCCGGAGCCAGGCTGCCTAGAGAGCCCTGAGCACATGGTAGAAGGTGAAGTGGCTCGGTACCCTTGGAACTTCTCTGTCCTGTGATGGGTGACACAGGAGACTAGGAGTTGGCATCATTGCTGTTGTTTATGTGACCAAGGTCCTGGGACTAGACCAAGGGCTGTCTGTAAGAGATTTTAGGGAAAAGTTGGCTGATGGCCTCTGGAGCCGAGGACCGTAGAAGACAGGTTGAGGTTCCTGACTTCCTGGCTTGGCTGGCGGGAGGGACACCCGCTTCAGTTTCTGGCCACTTGAGGACCATACTTGGGAAGAGGAAGCCCTGTGACCCTCCACAATCTCGCTGAGGCCCTGTGCATGAAAGCTTGTGGGTGTGGCAAACAGGGAGGCCCAACTGAAGGTCACCTCAGTTCACCAGGTGGCCCAAGTGCCTATGGCCTTAGATACAGGGAGGAGGAGAAGACAAAGGCCAGGCAGTCTTTTGTTTTTTCAAGAGAAGGTTTCTCTGTGTAGCCCATGCTGTCCTGAAACTCGTTTTGTAGACCAGGCTGGCCTTGAACTAAGCTCTGCCTGCTTCTGCCTCTCCAGTGCTGGCATTAAAGACCAGCCCCACAACTGAATCTTGACAGGAAGTGAGATCTGGGGAGGTAAGACTGGCTAGGAAACTAAAAAGACCTCAGAAGATGGGAGTCACTCCAAGAAGGGGTGAACTAGGAGGGGCAGGTGGCTGTGTGGGCTGTGCGAGCAGAGCCCGGTGTGGAAATATCCTCTAGGCCTGTGGTAGAGAGTGTCTTACTGACATCACTCCCAGGGAGCTTGGCCCCAGCTTCAGTGTTTTCTGGGCAGGGAAGGCACTGGCTTTTTGGCTCACTGACCAGTTCTGAAGTATAGGGGCTTTCTCCCACTCTCTTGCTGGCCAGAACCCAGTGTCACTTGCTTACCTGGTGCCATGCCTAGGAACTAAAGAAGGGTTCTGGAGTCAGCTGCAGACCCTGAGTCTGTCTGGGGTCCTGTTTGGTTACCGCATGTCGTCTGCGCTAGTAGGTCCAGCCTCTCGCTCCCACCCTCTGCCTGCTTTAGCGACCACCAGTGGCCAGGCAGAGGATGGGCACGTGCTTGTGCTATTCCTTATGCCAGGGTCAAAGTTGAGGGACATGGTCATGGACACTTGCTGCTTAACTCTCAATGTTTGTTAGCAGTGACATTAATGCCAGGAAGAGACTTGACTTATTCAGGGTTATCCAGCTGGTTTGGTTTCAAAGGGGCCCTTGGGGCCACCTTCTGCTAATAACATGGTCCTTCTCTTGGAGCAGGAGTCTAATTTATTACATTAGTATTAGGGTTGCTCCAGTTGGCACTCTCTTGGCCCAGCAGCTCTGTGATGGTACACTAGGCTCATGCATTGGGATCTACCCTGAGGGAAGCTGGGCATGGCTGCTTCAGGCCTGCTCTCTAGAGGGCCCGGGAGCCCCCACCATCAGGACATACATAGGGTATATTCAATATTAGCTAATAAACATTTGGCTTACACCCAGCCCTGGGGTTGGAACACCTGTGCCAGCAGCTTGCCATGCACCCAGGAAACTCACGGCTGGAACCTGAGATTACGGGGCTATCTGCAGGGCATCACGGTAGTCAGAGGCGTTTATCAAGCTGCTGATGCTGGTGACTTGGAAGGGTCAGGTGAAGGAGGAAGCCACATAAAGTGAGAGACGCTGAACATTTGGGAGTCTGAGGCATGAAGATTAGGAATTCAAGTACATCTGGGTATGGCGGCCCACGCCTTTAGACCAGCACTTGGGAGGCAGAGACAGACTGATCCCTTAGATTGAGGCCAGCCTGGTCTATGGAGCAAGTTCTGGACAACCAGAACAGAGTTCTAGGACAGCCAGGGCTAAGGGCTGGGGAATCTGGCTCAGTGTAAAAGGCTTAACCTGACATGTACATACAAGTCCTGGGCTCAGTCTCTAGCGCAGCAGAGAAGACAAAACAGTGAGATGGCTAGCTGGTCCAGCAGGTGAGGGCGCTTCCTGCAAGCCTGAGCTTCATCCTTGGGACCCGCATGGTGGAGGGAGGACACTCGGTCCTGCAAGTTGTCCTTTGACCTTTGCTAACACCCCTCCATTTTCCCACCCATATAAAATAAATAAGAAACAAATAAGAAACGGGCCGGGGGAGGGAAGATAGGCTGCAGGAGAAGAAGAGCTAGTGCGCAGGCCCTGAGAGCAGAAGGCTGTGGCAGTCACTGGTAGGCAAAGGCCTGGTGGCTTGACAGACTGAGGAAGCAGGGAGATGAGTTTGGAGAGGTCATGAAGGGACCTCAGGACATTCTGTTTGGTTCAAGGGGCTACCTGAAGGCGAGGCGAGCTCACTGCAGAAATGATGAGGGGAGGGCAGCTTTCTGGAGGGCCAGGGTCAGGGGCGCTGGGAAGGTTGCTGCTGTTATTCAGGTGAAAGGAGTCAATGAGGCAGCCAGGATGGCAGCATTCCAGGTGGTGTAGGTGGTACCAGGTGGGGACAGATGACTCTCTGAAAGCAAGAGAGTTGGTATCTGATGAGCTGGGTGTCAAGGGCGACTCCCAGGTTTCAGGCAACTGGGTGGATGGACTGAGCTGGGAAAGGTGACATGAGGGTGGAGAACAGGTTTGAGGGCAGAGCCGCTTACACTACAGTGAGCAAGGAACCTGTGGCCTACCCATGTGACATGCAAATTGGGGAAGGGGGGTTGTTGGTGAGCCGGCTGGAAGCCATTCAAGCTTGGACTGGTGCCTACTGCAGACCGACACTGTACAGTTGGGAGTTGCCACCAGCAGTCAATTGTTTAAAGCTACAGGTGTGCCTGGTGTCCCTGCAGGAGGTGTGCAGGGTGAGGGGAGCTCAGGACAAAGCCCTGAGATCATTGTGCCAGTCAGGTTTCCTTCTTGCTCTCTGTGGTCTATTGAGCCAGGACTGATGCTTCACTGTGGGGTGCTGTCTGGATAGGTGTATGGTCTGTACCGTCCTGTGAGGTGCTGTCTGGATAGGCAGATGATTAGTGCCATCCTGTGGGTACTGTCTGGATAGGCAGATGGTCGGTGCCGTCCTGTGGGTGCTGTCTGAATAGACGGATGGTCAGTGCCGTCCTGTGGGTGCTG